CATATCCATACGAGGCTGGATTTTTTTTCATATACTTCAGCCAACAAAACATCACAGCAGATTGCCAGCAGAAGCAGATATAATAATCCAGCTGTCTTCTTTTTTTAATTTTTATTTTTTTAAAGATTTTATTTATTTGACAGAGAGAGACGCAGCGAGAGAGAGAGAGAGAGAGAGAGAGAGAAAGCGCACAAGCAGGGGGTGTGGGAGAGGGAGAAGCAGGCTTCACGCCGAGCAGGGAGCCCGATGTGGGACTCGATCCCAGGACCCCAGGACCATGACCTGAGCCGAAGGCAGGCGCTTAACGACTGAGCCACCCAGGCGCCCCTCCAGCTGTCTTCTAATAAGCCAGACATTGAAGAGATTTTCAAATATGTAAAACAATGCCACTCTTCTCAGTATTTTTTTTGTTTTGTGATATGTAGTTAATCTTCTTTAAAATGTGTTATTTATTATCAATTTCTTGATTTTGATAAATCACTGTAATGAAGTAAGATGGAGGAGGGTGATGGGAACATGGGATCTCTCTGCATTATTTAACTTCTTATAGTCTATAATTACTTCAAAATAAAAAATTTAAAAATATGTTACTTATGTTGACATTTAATAAATATATTGTTCTTTTTAAACAATTAATAAGTATCTTAACTATTTCTCAGTTTCAATTTCTAATACAGTAAACATCAACAGATATAACCCATATAAGGAAAAGCTCTTTGAGACCTTCAATAATTTTTAACAGTGTAAAAGGATCCTGTGATCAAAAACTTTGAGAATAGCTGTGATGTAGGTAATGGAGGAAGTGGAGAGAATGAGAAATAATATGGCTTAGACTAGGGAAGAGTAAGAAGAAGTTCCATTCTGGATGTGTTTTGAAGGCAGAGTCAACAAGATTTGTGGATGGATTGGTTGTGGGAAATGAGAAAAAGAAGTTTTTGGGGTTTTGTGTGGGTTTTTTTTTTTTTTTTTTTGCTTGTTTTGCATAAGGAAACTGGTAGGATGAAATTGACATATAATCAGATCATAAGAGGAAAAGATTTTGGGGGGAATATAGGAGCTTATTTTGTAAATGTGAAGTTTTGAATGTCCATTAAAGCTCCAAGTGAAGTAGGTATGTTTCATTTCTCTCCATCAGTCTGTTAATACTACTTGTGGGTATTTGGCAGTTTCCTCATCTTAAATCTAAATTGTTAGGTTTCTGAATTGGCCTCTCATACTTACAGTTAAACCAGTGCAAAAAGTGCTTAGAGTCTTACCAAATAATCACCCTTCACTATCGCAGGGTAAACTAGTTAGCTCAGCAGGATTCAAGCCTGGCTGCACATTAGAATCACCTGGGGAGGGACGCCTGGGTGGCTCAGATGGTTAAGCATCTGCCTTTGGCTCAGGTCACGGTCCCAGGGTCCTGGGATCGAGTCCCGCATCTGGCTCCCTGCTCGGCGGGAAGCCTGCTTCTCCCTCTGCCGCTGCCTCTATCTTTCTCTCTGACTCTCATGAATAAATAAAACAAACAAACAAAAAAAAAATTAAAAGAAAAAAAAAGAATCACCGGGGGAGCATTTTAAACATTCCGATAGCATGGCCTCAAGAGATTTTGATTTAGTGCATCTGGAGTGAGGCCACAGGCAGCCTGTGTTTTAAAAGCTCCCCAGAGGGTGCCTGGGTGGCTCAGTTGGTTTAGCGACTGCCTTCAGCTCAGGTCATGATCCTGGAGTCCTGGGATTGAGTCCCGAATCAGACTCCCCGCTCAGCAGGGAGTCTGCTTCTCCCTCTGACCCTTCCCCCCGCCCCCCCCGCCCCCCGCCTCATGCTCTGTCTCATTCTTTCTCTCTCAAATAAATAAATAAAATCTTTAAAAAAAATAAAAATTTCCCCAGATGATTTTTTTTTTAAGATTTTATTTATTTATCTGAGACAGAATGAGAGAGACAGAGAGCACATGAGAAGGGGGGAGGGTCAGAGGGAGAAGCAGACTCCTTGCTGAGCAGGGAGCCCGATGCGGGACTCGATCCAGTGACTCCAGGATCATGACCTGAGCCGAAGGCAGTCGCTTAACTGACTGAGCCACCCAGGCGCCCTCCCCAGATGATTTTAATTAGCAGTTTAAGGCCACATCACTGGATTAGAGGTATGATTTTGCTATTTCTTCCTTGCACAATTTTAAAATTCCTTTTAAATTAAAACTCCCTTGAAACAACTCCCTACTAATTCACTATGCTAATGGAGAAAGGAAATCTTTTCTGAGCCTTGAGTGTGCGCATAGGACTTGCCCACTGTGGGACACAGAGCCAGAAGGCTGTAAGACAGCAAACAGTGAGTGCCCCTGAAGAAGGCAAGATGCTTCCCAGAAAACTGGTTAGAATGAGCAGAACAGCCTGATATGAATCTGTGATTGTGCTATCTACACTCAAGAAAGGACCTCCGGGGGCGCCTGGGTGGCTCAGTTGGTTAAGCGACTGCCTTCGGCTCAGGTCATGATCCTGGAGTCCCGGGATCGAGTCCCGCATCGGGCTCCCTGCTCGGCAGGGAGTCTGCTTCTCCCTCTGACCCTCCCCCCTCTCATGCTCTCTCTCTCTCTCTCTCTCTCTCTCTCTCATTCTCTCTCTCAAATAAATAAATAAAATCTTTAAAAAAAAGAAAAAAGAAAGGACCTCCAGGTTTAGCAATCAACCCACAGAGCTCCACTACAACCAACCGTTTCTGGATCGACAAGCCAAGGACTTGTTTCAACTACCCATCACTTGTGAAGCTTTGTGACTTTTGCCTTGATAAGCCTCACCCTTGCCTTTGTTTGGAGAGAGATGGTCTTTGTGGGCCATTGCCCAGATGTGAGTAAATCCCCAAAGCTCTATCTCACTGACACTGAGTTATCCTTTTGTTTGTTTTATGAGTTATTGCTTTGAAGCCTCAGAATATTTGCTTACCTTTAATCACAATGAAGTGGGGAATGTCATGAAATGGCATGAAAATAACAAGCACTTTATTTGTTGAATTTGAGCCATTTGCACAAGATATGTCAGACAGATATAAACATGAATTCAGGGGCGTTTGGGTGGCTCAGTGGTTTAAGCATCTGCCTTCAGCTTGGGTCATGATCTCAACGTCCTGGGATCAAGCCCCATGTCGAGCTCTGCAGGGAGTCTGCTTCTCTCCCTCTGCCCCTCCCCACTGCTGGTGCTCTCTCTCTCTCTCAAATAAATAAATAGAATCTTAAAAAAAACATAAATTCACTAGTATATTTGATCTCTTAGTTACTAATTCAGGCAAGATAAACACATGGGTCATATGTATTCACTAAAATATCTTAACTCTTCTCTGGATTGTACTCACCGAAGGAAATCCAGACTTTTCTAGAGTAGTAGAATAAGAAAATAAAACATTTTCCAAGACGCAAGTTGTGTTCGTTTTCTATGCTGTGGAGCAAATGACCACAAACTTAGTGGCTTAGAACAACATACCTTTATTATCTAATAGTTTTTGTGGGCCAGGAGTCTGGGCATGGCTTTACTACATCCTCAGCTCAAGGTCTCACACACCTGCAGTCAAGGTGTTGGCCAGGCTGCATTTCCATCTGGAGGCTCAATTACATCTGGAATAATCTGCTTCCAAGCTAAATCAGGTTGTTTGCAAAATGTGTTTCCTTACAGCTGTATGATTGAAGACCCTGGCTTTGTGTAGCCACCCATTGGAAGCCATCTGTAAATCCTACAAGCCACCCAAAGTTCCTTGCCACACGGGTTCCTTCAACATCACCTGTTGCTTCGTCAAGCCAGCTAGGATCATCTTTTGCTCCAGTCTACTAACAAACATTTTTATATAATGTAATGTAATCACAAGATTAACACCCACCACTTTTGCCATATTCTGTTGGTTAGAAGCAAGTCACAGGTCCTGCCTGCATTCACGGGGAGGCATCACACAAAGGCAAGAACATCAGGAGGCAGGAAATCATTGAGGGCAGGAGGCACTTTAGAGATTGTTTGCCACAGAAGAAAAAGGGCTCGCTCAATGTCAAACCAAACAGATGATGTAGTCCTGGCAAAACTGGAAAGAACACTGGCTGGAGCAGGGATCACGGGTCCTGGTCCTGGCCGTGTCATTAACTAGATCTTTTACGCAGCTAGCTTTCTGGACCTCAACTTCCTTACTTTAAAAATAAAATGAGGTGGGAAGACTCTAAGTCAGAAAGGTAGATTAAAATAGCACAGAAATACCAACATTCACCCTTAGCAAAAATTACAGATGATTACACTCAGAGCTTGTGAGTTCATGGATGTGCTCAGTCCTAAAAAGCAAGCTGCCATTAAAATGTTCACACCTGTGTCAACTTGACCATGGATGCCCAGATTTTTGGTTAGATGTTATTTCTGAGTACACCCAATGAGGTTAACATTTGAATGGGTAGACTGAGTAAAGCAGATTGCCCTCCCTAATGTGGGTGGGCCTCATCCTATTCCCTTCAGGCCTGGATAGAATAGAAGGCTGAGTAAAAAGGAATTCTCTCTCTCTGCTTGACTTTCTTCTTTGAGCTGAGACCTCTGTCTTCTCCTGCCTTTGGATTCAAGCTCAGACTGTACTTAAACCATTGGCCCTCCTGGTACTTAGGCCTACAGACTTGGATTGGGACCACACCACGATCAGCTCTCCTGGGTCTCCATCTTGCTGACTGCAAGTCTTGGGATTTCTCAGACTCCATAATCATGTGAGCCAATTCCTTATAGGAAATCTTCTTATAGACTGATACGGTACTCTGTGACAAAGTAATCCGTTCCTGGGATTTTATCTTAAGACAATGTATAATTCCAAAGACTTTTATAAAACAAGCTATATGTACAAAGTTATTAACCATGGTGTTATTGATAATAATGAAAAACTAAAAACAATGCACATGTTTCACTCCTGGAGAGTAACTGAACAAATTACAGTGCATCCAATTGAAAGAAAATTATGCAGCCATTAAACTAATAATCATGAGGACTATGTAGCAACACAGGAAAGTATTTACAAGTAGATGTGATTTTATTTTTTAAAAAAGCAGAACATTAAATTATATAAAAACTATAGTTATAACAAGAAAAAGTAAATAATGAAAAGAATCCATGTTTGGGTCATGGGATTGCACAATTTTTCATAACTTTCCTTTATCAATAAGATTTTTTAAAAACAATAATTAAGGGGCGCCTGGGTGGCTCAGTCATTAAGCATCTTCCTTCAGCTCAGGTCATGATCCTAGGGTCCTGGGATCGAGCCCCGCATCGGGCTCCCTGCTCTGCGTCAAAGCCTGCTTCTCCCTCTCCCACTCCCCTTGCTTGTGTTCCCTCTCTTGCTGCCTCTGTCAAATAAATAAAATCTTAAAAAAAACCCATAATAATTAAAATGTATGAAATGAAAACAATGAGGGGATTGAATTATCAGTGGTTCTTAACTGGGGTACACTTGAGAATTTAAAATATTTATACCTGGATCTTACCCTGTGAAACTTCTGAGATGGGGATGGGGTACCTACATATTTAAACACACACACACACACACACAAACACACAAACACACCCAAAGAGCTGATTCTGACGCACACTGGTAGGCAATTTCTCAGCCTAAAATTCCACAAACCTCTGGAGAATAAGGGAGCTATTCCAGGGACAAGCTCAGTCTTGGCTATGAGGCACCATGGGAACCGGACACCAGGCTGCTCTTAGGGTGTGCCGGGCTTGCTGCAGCCACTGTCGTTAGTGTTTGTGGCTTGGGGGCAATCTGAGGCATCGCCCTCTGTGCAGGATTGCTCCACAAGGCGGAAGGCCTCCAGGAACTCATTGATGTCGATGTGGCCATCCTTGTTGAAGTCAATGCTCCGGGCAAGGTCACAGATGCAGTCATCTGTAATGTCAATGTTCATATGAGAGCTGAACAGCTTCCAGGTCTGCCTGAACTCGTCCAGTGAGATGAACCCTTAGCAGAGAGAGGAACTCATGTCAGTGAGTCAGTCTAAGTTTCAATGTTCACTTCCTCTGACATTCTTGCAGGGACACCTGTTCCTTACCGTTGAACAGACAAAGATACCCAAGGCCTTGTATCTAGTTTAAACTCCCAAGGGGGTGGCACAAAACCAGTGGATCACCAGTGGTTCTCAACTCGGAGCAGTTTTGCTTCCCTTCTTCTGGAGACATTTTTGATTGTCATGACCGGGGTGGTGGTGAGTGTTACTCGTATCTAGTACATAAATGCCAGGGATGCTGCTAAATATCCTACAATACACAGGATGGACCCCAAAACAAAGAAATATTCAGGCCAACATGTCAATAGTGACACTCCTGAGAAGCCACATGTTAAGTCATCCCAAACATATAATTTATTTTGCTTATTAAAAGCCTTTGGACCCATACACCTATGGTCAATTGATTTTTTTTTTTACAAGGGTTCCAAGACCATTCAATGGGGAAAGAATTGTGTTTTCAACATATGGTAGTAGACAACTGCATATCCTCATGTAAAAGAATGAAGCTAAACCCCCTACCTTGCACTACCAACAAAAATTGACTCAAAATGATTCAAAGGCCTAATTGGAAGAGCTAAAAGTATAAAACTCTTAGAAAAAAAAACATAGATGTGAATCTCTGTGACCTTGGATTATGTCATGGTTTCTTAGATATGACACCAAAAACACAAACAACAAAAAAGATAAATTGGACTTTTTTTTTTAATTAAAAAACTTTGTGCATCAAAGGAAACTACCAAGAAAGTGAAAAGACAATCTATAAAGTTGGAGAACATATTTGCAAATCATATATCTGATCATGGTATAGTATCTAGAACATATAAAGAACTCTCATAACTCAACAACAAAAAGATGAATAACTCAATTAAAAGATGGGCAAAGGATCTGAATCGACATTTCTCCAGAGAATATATAAAAATTTCCAATAAGCACATGAAAAGATGCTCAGTATCATTGGTTATTAAGGAAAAGCAAATCAAAACCATGAGATACTGCACACCCAGCAGGAATGGCTATAAAACAGGGTGGGGGTTGCAAGTGTTGGTGATGATAGGAGAATAAGGAGAAACTGGAGCCCTCAAACCTTGTCAATAGGATTCTGAAATGGTATAGCCACTGTAGAAAACAGTTTGGCTGTTCCTCAAATAGCAAAACATAGTTTTATGATATGATTCAGCAATTGCACTCCTAGGAATACATCCAAGAGAATAAAAAAACATATGTTCACATAAAAAGTTGGACACAAATGTTCACAGCGTCATTATGCATAAAAGCCAAAAAGTGGAAACCATCTAAATGTCTATCAACTGATGAATGGATAAACAAAATGTGGTATATATATCCATACAATGGAATATTAGCCAGCTATAAAGAGGAATAAAGAACTAATACATGCTACAACATGGATGAACTGTGAATACATTACGCAAAGTAAAAGAAGCCAGACACCAAAGGCCATAATATTGTAGGATTCCATTTATACAAAATGTCCAGACTAGGCAAATCCTTAGAGACAGAAAGCAGACTAATGGGTGTCAGGGGCTGATGGAGAAGGGACAGGGATAGAGAGTGACTGCTAATGGGTCTGGGTTTCTTTTTAGGGTGATGAAATGTTCTATAATTGGATAGTAGCTTACACAACCTTGTGAATATACTAAGAATTGGATAGTAGCTTACACAACCTTGTGAATATACTAAGAACCAGTGAACTGAACGTTTTAAGTGAATAAATTATACGGTATGTGAATTATACCTAAAAATAGGTGGGAAGAGAGTAGTAACATTGAAAAAGGTCTTTGGACCATTGGGGGAACAGGATGAGAGCATCCAAGACATCCCTGTACATTTTTTGGTATGTCCTGTAAATCTGTAATTATTCCAAAATAAGGAGTTTAAAAAAGAATACTTCGGGAGTGAGATTGTAAAATTCTTTCTGCTCTAGGCACTCCTCATTACTTTATGGCTATTTTTGATACAACTATAAGGGACACCACATCTTCTAATCACAGTTTTTTCTATGAGAAGTTCTCATCCAGTTTGTCTGCATTCTCTGCCCTACCCCCCCCGTATGGATTGCTCGTAGTGCCCAAATATTTTTCTAGTTTCTGCCATTTATTTATAAGCATAATCATTTACTTTGCTCCCGAAGTGCTCGAGTAGAGAGCTAAATGATCAGGAAGGAGACTGAAGGGTGGGAGGTAAAGTACGTATTTTGCGTCAGAAGTGATAGGCTAGTGAGTGTCTTCACCTGAATGATCACTGTCTATGATCCTAAAGATGGTCTCCAGGTTGGATCGGTTCCGATACAGTGTTTCCAGCAAACTTGACTGTATGTTCTGCAAAAGAAAATACATGTTCTTTCTATATCTTATGTTTAGGCTTGCCCTAATATATAATTAACCCACAATCGACCCTGACAATAAGATACTGTTGAAACAGACTGAAGAGATTTTATTCCCAACCCCTTCAGCCTACCAAATAATCTAAGGGTTTAAGAAGTACTTATAGACCATGATGAAAATGTTCTAAAACGGACCCTGGTAATGGCTGTACGTATCTGTGAACATATGAAAAACCGCTGAATTGTACAGTTTGAATGGATGAATTGTATGGCACATGCATTATATTGAAATAAAGGCATTTTAAAAAGTACCTAGCCCAAGGCCTCACATACATTATACATTCATTAAGTATTTACTGAATAAATCCTTTTTTTTTTTTTTTTTAGTGAGGGAAGCAGGATGGTGCCAGGGAAGTCAGACAGACCTGGGTTTGAGTCCCAGTTCTACAATCTAGAAGCTTGGTGAGCAGTGCCTCGTAGGTATAATGGTGCTGATAATACCATACTCTTGGGGTAGGTATTTTGAGGATAAATTGAGGCAACATATGTAAGTCACTTAACACAAAACCTGACATATAAAAACTCAACAAGTAGTTCCCTTTTCGCATCTATCGTCTTTTCTGGGTTCTCAATATCTGACTGTTTCTGATTCAAAGTTCTCCATCGGGAGCTTCATGGGCCCCAGTATGGCTTCATCCAGCATCTTCACACCATTACCTCATGGCTCAATTGTTCTTTGGCCAAGCCCTCCAGCCAGGACTTGTATTCCAACGTGTTATCCATAGAACTGCTCACCAGCTGTGGCCTCAGCATCCGCCAGGGGAGTCCTAGACGCAGCACAGACTCCACGGCTTCTGCCCAGTCACTAAGGGAGATGAAACCTACAGCAACGAGATGATTTGTTGGCTTGTCACTTATAAGTCCAGTGTCCTGCAGTGCAGACTTTTTTGTCCCAACATACTTCTTGCTGTCTGCAGGTAATAGAAATAATGGGCACTGTCACTATTTTTGTGGGTCCAGGTAGAGTTTGCTGGAAACTGGGGTTGCAAGATAAAATACAGGATGCCCAATTAAATAAGAATTTCAGAAAGACCACAAAGTATATGGCCCAAATATTGCATGGGACATAATTATATTTTTAAATTATTTGTTGTCTATCTATAATTCAAATTTAATTAGGCATCCGGTTTGTTTGTTTGTTTTTTAAGATTTTATTTATTTATTTGACAGAGACACAGTGAGAGAGGGAACACAAGCAGGGGGAGTGGGAGAGGGAGAAGCAGGCTCTCCGCTGAGCAGGGAGCACGATGCGGGGCTCGATCCCAGGACCCCGGGATCATGACCTGAACCGAAGGCAGACGCTTAACGACTGAGCCACCCAGGCGCCCCTAGGCATCCTGTTTTTGTTAAACATCCTGTTTTTGCTAAATCTGCCAACACTATTGAAAAGTCACATAACTCTCCTATAAAGGATATCCTAAAACTATATGTATATATCTATATATAGAGAGAGATATATGTATATATCTCTATATATATAGCATTAGTTGTTGATACATATATGAACAGATATTGCTGTGAATTTATGATTGTTACTGTTATTTTCTAATAGGGCTATATATATGTGGTCAATGTCTATTAGACATTCTATTGAGTTGAACAAAGACAAAATTTCTAGCTTTGATTATAGAACACAGAATAGATATGTACACACTAAGCAAGAACAAGAAGCCAAATCATTGATCTTTTGCTAATTTTGGATATATGCTTGTAACCTCCCCCACTAGTTGCTTTTTGCTTAGTTCTGGACTTGTCACCATCCCTTTCACTCCATTTCTTTTCACCATCTCCGTCTATATTTAGCTAAATTCACATTCTGTTAAAAGCTTGGAATTTTAGGGGCGCCTGAGTGGCTCAGTTGGTTGAGCGACTGCCTTCAGCTCAGGTCATGATCCTGGTGTGCTGGGACCGAGCCCCGCATCGGGCTCCCTGCTCCGTGGAAAGCCTGCTTCTCCCTCTGCCCTTCACCCTGCTTGTGCTCTCTCTCACTTTCTCTCAAATAAATAAATAAAATCTTTAAAAAATAAATAAAAGTTTGGAATTTTAAAATTTAGAAAAGATAACTGGAGCATTAAGTTGAATAAAATGAAGAAAGTAGTCAAAGATGTCCTTTGGTCATTAGTTCAACAAATATTGGTTTGATAACTTCTGCGACACAGTTTTTCTTGGCCAGCTTCCTTTTAGGAATATTTTCTTGCTTGGTCTCACCGGTTCTTTTTGTTTTTGTTTTTCTTTTTTAAAAAAGATTTTATTTATTTATTTGACAGAGAGAGGCACAGCGAGAGAGGGAACACAAGCACGGGGAGTGGGAGAGGGAGAAGCAGGCTTCCCGCCGAGCAGGGAGCCCGAGGCGGGGCTCGATCCCAGGACCCTGAGATCATGACCTGAGCCGAAGGCAGAGGCTTAACGACTGAGCCACCCAGGCACCCCATGGTCTCACCGGTCTTATCTGCATCATGCTTCTTAAATTCACCAAGAAGATGGGAGGAATGAGCAAATAACTTTTCCCGCAGAGATCTCAGAGCTGACTCCTCTACTCTGCTAATCCTGGGACAGGAGATGAAAATAAACATTTTTAAGAAGTTAACATAGAGGAAATAGCCATGGGTTTGTTTTTCTTACCACACTCCTCTCTCTCTCTTAACATCTCAATCTCCCTAGAGCTCAGTTTGGGGGAGGAGAGCTCAGTTTTTGAAGGAAAACCTCCATCTCCTATTTCTCCCACTTCTCCCTGCTGGGTACAAATAGGACCTGCCCCTGTCCTTCCCAGTGCCGGATAGTGGTTACAGAAAAGTTCTGGAAAAAGACCACCTTTATGGTAAAGTTATCCTACTGTACTGCACCTCAATTTCCCCATTTGCAAAAGAGGGATAAAAATGGTACCTACCAAGAAAAAAAAAAAAAGGAAAGAAAGAAAGAAACATGGTACCTACCTCATAGGATTATTGTGAAAATTTTAAAAGTAAATTCATATAAAGCACTTAGAAGAAAGCCCAGCACATTGAAAGCACTCAGTAAATAGTATCTGTTATCCTACTCATATGCTTTCCTTATAATTTATTATTATGTTAAATATGCACAAGGCAAGATTTATGAATAATGAAATAACACTAATTTAGTTTTTTCATTCTTATTGGATCAAAAGAGTAATGCTGGGCACAGCACTAGGCCCAAAGTAAGTGCTCAAATATGCGGAGTTGAATGAATAAAAAGATAAAAAGGGATAAAGGTAAAGAAAAAAAGAGATAAAGGTAAATCTATACTTTGTCCTGCCTCATTGAGGAACCAGCCATTCTATAAATGATGACCAGATAACCTATCTTTTGCCACACTAACAGTTCCACACACACATGTGCACACACATACACAGAGTTTCAATCATGTTTGATGAAAATCTTCCTTGTAGTTTAAGGTATTTAGCATAATAGTCCTTAAGTGGGCTCCATAGACCTCCCAGGAGAGTGTGAACCGCCTAAAACTCATCCTTAAATGTATGGGTATGTGAGTGTATTTGCTTTTTCTGGAGGGAGTTCATTGTTTCATCAAAGGTTAGAAGAAGTATGGGACTCCCTGGGGCACCTGGGTGGCTCAGTCAGTTAAGCGTCCAACCCTTGGTTTTGGCTCAGGTCATGATCTCAGGGTTGTGTGATCGAGCCCCACATCAGTCTCTGCACTCAACAGGGAGTCTGCTAGAGATTCTCTTCCTCTCCCTCTGCCCCTCCCCTGCTTGTGCATGCTCCCCCTCCAATAAAAAAATAAGCAGATCTTAAAAAAAAAAAAAAATATGGGACTCCCTCTCCCCACCAAAGTTTACAAACCATTGGTTTGGCAAAGCATTTAAACTATCTTCTGTTATGTTGTCGTCATCCATCATTATCATGCAGGGATGTAGTATGGTGATGCTCTCAGGAGCTGTCTAGATGTACAAGGCTCTCTGTTTCTACACCAAGCAGCAAATGGTGAACACTAACTAAATGCAGGTCTCTCCATGGATTATCTCAGTCCTCCAACACCCACTGAGGTAGGTCCGATTATTATGCCCATTCCAAGGTAACTAATTCAAGGTCAGATAGCTAATAAGGGGTGGGACCAGCAATCAATCTTGACAGGTGAATTCTAGGCAAGCTAACCTATTATTGTGAGGTGTGGATGTGAACCAAAAGTAAATGGATGCCGAATGAGGCCTCTTCTAAGAAAAACATGATCTTGAGTTTATGGACACTGAGCCATCAATTATGGATGGTCAGGGACATTTCCCCCTTACTTCTGCTCCAGGGAGTTGAAGTTGTTGGACAAGTGATTTCTGGGTAAATTAGGTGATGTTTACTTGCTTTCATACAATCAATGAATATTTCAAAGAGCTCTTACAACACCTAAATCCCATGGAATCGGGCATTCCAGTTGCCCGGGGCCCACCTCTGAGACTGTGGTGGTGAGGCTGCGGTGAGCCTAGGGTGGCTGAGTTTTGGTCAAGCTCCCCTGGTTGATGCCTCTGCACAGTAGGTTTGACTATCACTTAATGAGTTTAAATTCTCATATGAAACTTCTTCTTGAGTGATGCTGGCCTTGATTTTTTAATAACTTGAGGGTTTAATAACTCTTGATAGTTAATAACTCAAGAGTGATTTAAAATAAGGCACTTTTATAGCACTCACACAAGGCAGATGTTAAATATTAATGTGTTCTCTTTCCACTGGGTTTATGTTAACTTTGTTTTGATTTCTAATTAGTCCATCTGATAATTAAAGAAGCTTGTTCAGGAGCACTAAAACTGCATCTGTTAGCAGCTTATGTACTCTGAGACCATCTTCTTGGTGGGAGGCAGGACTGCAAGTCTGTGAAGGGTGTGATTTCTGAGATAAGACTGCCTGGCTCAAGGCTTGCCTTCACCGTGTGTTAGCTGTGGGACCATGAGCCAGCTGATTTAACCTGTGTTCCTTGATGATCTCCTCTATAAAACTGAAATTCGTATGTATTTCATAAGTTCATTGTGAGACAACACATATAAATTCTTTATAATAGCACTTAGTGGGTGGTAAGCTCTCAGCTAAGGTTAGAACTCAGAATCATCTCAACAGAAGCCATGTAAGTAATATTACACACTTCCTTCCCAGGAAGAAAAGGGCACTGTCAACAAATGTGTGGACTGAAACCCATCTGTCAAATCCCTAGAAAACAAAGAAACTTTGTCTGTGGCTTATGGGGCAAAACAAACTCTTTAAGGATGAGAAAAAATGTAAGAGCGACCCTGGAAAGACTCAGTGGCCTGGTATATGGACTTTACCCAAGATGCTCCCATTGAGAATAACTTCTGGAGGAAGCAAATTTGTTGCTTCCATTAATGGTGGGTAGGTACAGATCTTAAAGTGTATGGAGGAGAAGAAACAGGACCCTACATTCTCCTATTGTAGACCTTATTGCTGACATAGCTAAGTTTTGTTGTTGTTGTTGTTGTTTTAAGTAGGCTCCATGCCCAGCGTGGAGCCCAATGTGGGGCTTGAACTCACAACTCTGAGAGCAAGACCTGAGCTGAGGTCGAGTCGGACGCTTAACCGACTGAGCCACCCAGGTGCCCCACACATTATGAATTCTCACTTAGAATTTGGATAAATGTAATGATGCTGGACATTTTGAAGTTCCTACAAACACCATAATTCTGTTTTTCTGAAAATCGTTCATTAAAAAGTCTTGCCTTTGCCTCATAGTCAGCATGTGGGTTGCCTTGTTAGCTTGATATTGCACGATGTATGGAGTCAAGGCCGGCCCCAGCTTGACGTAGGCACCTCTGTTACTGCCAACTTCATAGTAGTTGGAGGCAGAAAAGATGGTTAACACCTACATCAGAACAGAGAGAGAAAGGCATTCAGGTTCACTGAAGAACTCAAGAACTCTTCACCCTCCTCGACCCCACCCATGGATCTTTTCAATTTTTAAAGTCATCAATGCTAGTAAGGCAGGAGTTGTGATTCAAGCAGTAACAACTTGAATTCTGATGGGATATCCATAACATGATATCTTTTTTTTTAAGATTTTATTTATTTATTTATTTATTTATTTATTTATCTGAGAGAGAGTGAGCGTGAGAGGGAGAACACCAGTGGGGAGGGGCAGAGGCAGAGGGAGAAGCAGACTCCCTGCTGAGCCGGGAGCCCGACAGGAGCCTGGAGCCCAGGACTCCCAGGATCACGACGAGCTGAAGGCAGACGCTCAACCAACTGAGCCACCTGGGCGTCCCACAACACGGTTTCTTCACATTTTTATCTCAAGGACAACAGCAGGGGTCAGACAAAACACTTCATTTGGTTCAACTTAGAGGCAAGCTGGATCGGATAAGTTGGGAAGGCCATTATAATCGGTACACCAGTTGTGAAAGCTGGTGTGAGGCCTCACCGTGGAGCTGCCTACAGAGAACTGTCTTCTAAGATGTTCTGTGAAAAAAGTTTCCACACTGTCGGTACATCGGGAAATGGTAGACACTGCATCTCTTCTTGGAGATTTACAAGGAATACAGGAAACTAAAGGTCTCGGAAGTCCTGCAGTAGACGAACTTGTATTAACCAAACGTTTCTTAGATTAGTTGATCTCACTTTTTGTTCCCCCCGCATGGAAACCTGTTATTCTCCTGAAGAGTTAGTTTTCCTGGCAATACTCTCATCCTAGCGGCACTGGGCTAGGCAAACGTTGTAGGATTAAGATGTGCAAAGATGAGTCAGGACATTAAATATGCTCCTGAGAAGACAAACAATCCTGAATCCCTGCTGGGGCGCAGTGCAGAAATCCTGTCACCCCGTAGTGATGTGACTTAAGGAATGGAGATGTGGCTGGGAAAACCCCAGGCCATATTTCTGTCCTCAAGATGGGACAATATCCGCCCCTCTGTTCTCCTCTCAGGGCACTGCTGAGTGGTGGCAGCAATCAAATTTTGAGCTTTAAAGAGGCTGTGAAGGGCGCCTGGGTGGCTCACTTGGTTCAGCATCTGCATTCGGCTCAGGTCATGATCCCAGGGTCCTGGGATCGAGTCCCACATCGGGCTCCGGCTCCGCGGGGAGCCTGCTTCTCCCTCTGCCCTTCCCCCACTCACGTGCGTGCGCACGCGCGCGCTCTCTTTCAAATAAATAAAAATAAAATCTTTAAAAATAAAATACATTAACATACTTAATCTCAGGAAACCCTCAACAACTGAGGGTTCCTGGAGTGGAGGGAGGTGGGAGGGATGGGGTGGCTGGGTGATGGACATGGGGGAGGGTATGTGCTCTGGTGAGCGCTATGAATTGTGTAAGGCTGATGAATCACAGACTTGTACCCCTGAAACAAATAATACATTATATGTTAATTTAAAAAATGTGAAAAAAAGAATAGAAAAATAAAATTTAATATTTTTATTCTTTAAAAAAAATAAAATAACATACTTTGAAAACATTTGCCATAAATAAATAAATAAATAAATAAATAAATAAATAGGCTGTGAAAGTCAAGGATCAGTGACTATAAAGGACCTAGCTGCCTTGAGCAAGTGGGAGAACAAACACAAGGCGCAGTTGACTGTGAGCAACCAAGCGCCTGAGCTCGTCCAGGCTGGGAGGAGTGGTCTGGCCCACCCCCGCGCCACTGCCGCCTGGCGCCCACCTTGCGGCTGTGGCAGAACTCGTAGCCCTCAGGTTTGCACTCATGGGAGCGGATCAGGAACTGCAGGTTGTATTTCTGTAGCAACTGTTCTGTCACATTAGGTCCAAAATAACAGCCTCCTCCTCGAACGGTGTTAGCCTTGCAACCCTCCTGGGCCATGGGATCACTCCACAGGATATCGACCACCTGGAGAGACCAAGAGATGGATTATTTCCTAAAATCTAGACAGATATGCAGAGTCATTCCTATGAAAAGAGGAAGAGAAGGAGGAGGAGTAAATAGCAGAGGAGGAGAGGAAGAAGAGCATACAAGTATTTGCATAAGTGAATAATTTTCCATGTGATCAATATTTGACATATGCTTTTATATTTTTTAAAGATTTTATTTATTTATTTGACAGAGAGACAGGGAGAGCGCAAGCTGGCGGAGAGGCAGAGGGAGAGGGAGAAGCAGGCTCCCCACTGAGCAGGGAGCCTGACTCAGGGCTTGATCCCAGGACCCTGGGATCATGACCTGAGCTGAAGGCACTTAACTGACTGAGCCACTCAGGTGCCCTGACATATGCTTATATTTTGAACACCTGAGGTTCCAGAATTTTTTATTACTCACAGAAGGAGCGTGTGTATATGTGCATATTGTTTGACAAGCATGTTACCCACTTTGTTGGAAATAAATCTTATATGACAGCTCAACATGTAAACCAGATAAAAGGGAGCTGCTCTGGGAGAAATCTTCAGTTAGCCCCAGTGCTCCAGGCTCCTGGACATTTGCCCCAAAGAGAAGGCAGAAGTTATGGGACTGGCAACATGATCTCTCATGCAGTGTTCACAACGCCCCGGCTGTGGTCCTGGGAAAGTGCAATCAAATGTTTCAGTTCTTCAAGTAATTTCAGCATTTTTAAAAGAATTTGCAGAAGAGCTGAACAACTTTTCCAGCAATTCAGGTTCTATCCTTTTGTTACTACTCAGGAAAACACTGATGACCAATCTTCTATAATTTACATGAAATAATCAGGTGTATTTTGGTTGTTGACACCCAATACTTTCTAAACGTACTTTTGAGGGGGAAAAGTGCATTTGATTTGTAAATATTGGAACACTATTATTGAGTCATGTTTTGCAAAAGGAGAGATTTGCATTTATTTTAAAATTTCCACTCTACATTGCTGCTGAAGCCCAGGATCGATAGCTCAGGGAGAATGTAACGGAAACCCAATATCTATCTCTCTGAGGTGTCTAGCCTCAGAGTCAGCTGCGACTCCTTTTTCTCAGCACCCTCCATCCAATCAATCCACAAGTTCTGCTAATTTTAGCTCTTAGCTAATTCTGCATTCTCTCCTTTTCTTTATTGGATAAACCATAAAAAAACTGCCAGGGTTATAGTCAGAAATGGCTGAACACCAGCAAGGTCCCATAGGGCTACTAACTCCGCGGCGCAAGCTCACCGCGTGGATCTCCCGCACGGATTACAAGCGCCCCTGCCACAGCCTTGTCCCGGCGGAATGTGCGCACCGGGCGGCTGCCAGGGTCCTATCTAGGCGAACACTGAGGGCCTACTCTGTATTCGTTCTCCTTCTTCCTTCCTGCTACCAGAACTCTGATGGGGAGTTTGGGGTGGCAATGGGCATCGCTGAACGCTTGCTTTCCCAGTCTCCCTCGCAGCGAGGGGCGGCTCTATGACACACTTCGGGAGATTCTGGAAAAGCCTTTAGTTGCCTAATAACAGAGGCCCACAGAAGCTGCTGACCTAACCCATTTGGCCTTGAGCTACATAGTCATCTTTCTGACACATTAAAAACAAAACATCACGGAATAGCATCCAGTAAGTCCTGGCTTACCTTCCCACCCCAAGGAGGCTAGGTCACTAAACCACGTTTACTCGGGCAACAGAGCCCACCGGCCACAGCCGACCGACCTCTACGAAACTCTAAAATATGTGAGTTATTAGGCAAATACTAATATCCTTCTGGGCTGTTCTAACCCCAGGGGGAGAGGGAAAGGGGGTGGGAAAAAAAACCCCGAATTCACAGGGAGAGAAGAGATTCGCTCTGTTTAAAAGCCCCCCCCGAAGACAGCCAAACGCCAGGGAGCAGCCCCTGGCCACCCCCACCTGCTTCCACTCCTCCGGAGTGGGCTCGGGCGGCTCGTCGGCGTCCGAGTCGGCTTCTGGCGTGACGAGCAGCGGCTCCCCCTGCGCCCGGCTCCCCGGGAAGCCTGCCTGCAGCCGGCCCCTGTCCAGCTCCAGGTCCCCGGAGCGCCGCGCCCGCCGGGCCAGCTCCTCCGCGTCGGCCGGGCCGCTGCAGGGGATGCTGGAGGAGCGGCCGGCGCGGGGCGCCCCGCAGGAGCCCAGGCGCAGGGGCGAAGCGGGGAGAGAGCGGCTCTGGGGCAGAAACCACGGGGTGGGTCGCCCCGCGCAGCTCGGCGGGGTGGCCTTCTCCTGCGTCGTCGCCGGTTTCCCGTTCTCCTTCCTCGTTTGGCGCCTCAGGGTGGAGACGATCTAAAAACGGCCAGAGAAGACACAGATGGCGGCAGGAAACCCGAGGTGGTTTCTTGAGTAGCCCCTCTAGGTCAGCGCGCTCACTAGCGCTGGTCCTGCTCCACCCCCCCCTGCGCAGGATGAGCACAGGGCTGGCGAGGAAGCCTCTAGAAACGGTCAGGGCAGTTGGATACTGCTGTGATATTCAAGCACGTGATCCGTGGGCTTAAATTTTTTTGTTCGTATTTCATTTTTCTTGTACTTCATATATGTTGTATTTTACAAAAGTTCTCATGTGTGACAAACTGGACATTTATAAAACCCGGTCCTCTGCCACAGGTAATTGGAGAAATCCTAAGCAAAACTACTGTTTTCTCTAGGAGCCTAGTGAATTGTAGACAAGGATGGGAAAGGGCACGTCTCAGGAAGGTGAGCCTGTATGGACTTTCCTGTTGTTCAACCGGGTGCTAAAACAAAGGAGAAGAAATGCAGCTTGTGGTTAAACTATGTTGGAATAGGAAACACTTGTTGCTTTGCCGTGGGAGAGGCAGGACTTCGTGGCATCTCACAGGAAGTGCTATTTTACCTGTTGAGGAAGGGGAAGAGCACCTCTTTTCAGCCTGGACCTAATTGGAAAGGGAATCTTTTGGCCAAAGAGACTGAGTATGGTCCCTGTCACTGACTCAGAGGCATCATGGTACTGGGACCAGGCTGACGATAGAGTCACAAGCTGGAAGAATTCTGATCATGGGAAAGAGAAGGGTCAGGCCACAGAGCACAGCTGTGGCACCTAGCCCCCATTCCTGGCATGCCTGAGTGCCACAGTGGAAACCGAGGCACACAACATTGGAAGGGTATCAACGACAGAGGTCTGACGCACAGCGGGAACTCTCTGCAAGCGCATAATCAAAGAATGAGAAGAAGAATCGATTTCTGCAAATCGATGTAAGGACTGTGATCCAAGGAAGCCATGTCTTGGTGTGGACTGGCTTAGGGCAAGGACAAAGGACACTCAGAGAGGGTCAGCAGAACCTGAATGATGTTTCAAGAGGAATCCAGATTGAATAGAACAGAACAGAGGTGTTCTCTAACTTTGGACAAGCTCTAATGACTTCCTAGGCAGCTTAGCCCGGGGCATAGAGGGTGAAAGGCCACCAAACGTGAATGGAGTGGTAACCCCCTCCTTCTCTCCTTGTTGCAACTCAGAGTGAGGGCCGGACCAGGTAACTGGTAACCTTTCCATCCTCAGGTAACTTTAAGGATGTTATTATCTGCCCTCAAGAGACATCCCTAACTTTGGTTTTTAAGGAGAATAACAGCGTTAATATGTATTGCGCCCTTTGTAAATAGATGTTATGCTGGGCACTTAACATGAATTCATTGATACCCTCAGGCCACCGCTATGAGACTGCATCCTCATTTATGGTTTTACACGAATTGATTGATTAGCCCTCACACCCTGTGAGATAGCATCCTCATTTATAGTACAGATGAGAAACGTGAGGCACAGAGTTACTAGAACATTACCAGGATTGAATCCAGATATCTGACTCCGGGGCTCCTACTCTTGTGTTTCCCGCCCAAGTGATCCCAGGACTTGGTACAGATGGCTACATCATCCCTCCCCAGAGCTTTGCAAACCAACTATTGGGAAGTTAGCTTTTTGCTAAGCTACGGAAGATAAACTGTTCTTTAGCATTCTTTCCCAAAGTCCCTACTTCTCCTGTATATATTAAATGTGATTCTTCCCATTAAATGTGAATCTGCTTTATCGTGACTTGCTGTCTCTACCTCCAGACATAGATACAGCAAAACAGAATATTTGAATTAAAAAAAAAGTGAGGTGCCAGACATCATGCAGAATTGACAAAAGAAATACTAAGAGCTAGTTTTAGGTCCCTTTGGGCCCCTCCTCCTTTATTAAGAACATGAAGGGGTTGAGATTATGGAGAAGCAGAGAGGGGATTTATAATGAGGATTTTTGGAGGAAGCTATTGAAAATGTTGCAGGTGCCCCCCCTTCCACCTCTGCTAAGGAGTTATCCTTTTCCCTTTCCAACACTGAGTTTGTGGGTGCAGGGACACATATCTCGTCTTTCAGTCACCAGACCACAAGGGGCCAGAGCCAGACCTTGATATATAGGACTTGAATCCAGAAACCTTGGACTGGATGCAATTATGGGATGAGACCTGAGTGTAGACTCCATTGGGGAGGGGATAAGCATGGTTCTACGTGTGGCAAGCAGGATGTGCATAGAAATTTGGGGAGCAACAGGGACAGATCAAGGCAGAGTGTGGCTACCCAACATCTGTCTACTCTTCCTCCTTAGAAATAGAAACCCAGATTCTTACAGATACCACCTGGAATGAAGAATACACTTTCCAATCTGCCTTTCGGCTAAATGTTAACATGTGACAACATTCTGAACAGAAATAGGAACAAAAATTTTGTGTACATCTGAGTGTCCTTAAAGGGAAGAAACATGCCTTTCTTCTACACTGCTAGAACATGGTTGTGACGGTTTGGGCTCAGGTAGCCATGCTGGGTCATGATGCAGCATGGGGGAGCAACAAGAAAGCAGGAAACTCGGTCCCTAGTGACTTCGTGGTGTTACTCCCCCAGCCCTGGACTATTGGCTTCCAGTGCTTATTTACAGAAAGGAAGAGATAATCATTAAGCCATTGTTATTTGAAGTTTTCTGTCACTTCAGCCAAATGTAGTTCATACCATTTCCACTTGCTGAGTACAAATTTTGTAAGGCATGTGTACACACATTTTCATTTAATCCTCACAACATCTAGGATACAGTCACTCCTATTCCTATTGTATAGATTCAGAAACTGAAGTTATAATAAATAACTTTTTCAAGGTAATATTCTATAAGTAGCAGAAACAGAATTTCTATCCATTTGTCTCCAACTTCATGGGTCATGGCATAACCACTCACCACACCTACTCAAGGGAAAAAGAACATATTTCCCTACTTCAGTATCTGTGTGGCAGACTACCACTCCCCCAAATCTAGTTTCCCCTTCTTTGCCATAGGAATGGAAACCCCAACTTTTGTACCATGCATGTGGCCAACCAGAGAGAAGACTGCATTTCCAGCCTCCCTTCCAGCAAGGTGTGATCATGGAACTATTTTCTCAACAATGGGAGGAGAGTAGAAGAGAGGTATACAACTTCTTCCCTGTATCTTTAAAGGGCAGGAATATTCTTCCCCCGCTTCCTTCCTCTCTCCTATTGCTTGGAATACAGATGTGGTGGCAAGCCACCTTGGCCTATACAGATGAGGGCATGGGAAAGATATCCTAAGGATGGCAGAGTAACAAGACATAAGAAGGCTTGGTTCTTGGAAAACCTAGTAAAACGAAGCTGCTGTACCAGCATGTTCCAAGACTCAAACCAGGGTCAGTCTGATTCTAAAGCCATGCTCTTTCATTTATGTCTCATATAACACAGACTTAGATTAGTTAGAGTTGCCCAAAGCACACTGGCTTGTGAAGTAATGAGTTCTCTGTCTTTGGAACTGCTCAGCTGAATGTTGTCAAGGATATTGCAGTAGGGACTCCTGTGTTTTGGAAGGGGTAGTTGGAGTACAGAAGCCATAGGACACCATTCAAGCATAAGAGTCTGTGATTAAAATAGAATCTTTGTTTTCTAAAGTTTTACTTCCAAAGTGAAACAGAAAACAGAGATGTGTGGATATTGGAGCTTAATGCATTCTGTCTCTCACCCCCTCCTCCTGCCGGTTCTTGTAAATCCCCTGAGGGAGGCACCATCTCTGGTTATCTCTGCATCTCCCCTACCACTTTCCCTGCACAAAGTAAGCCCTTTAAACATAGTTGTTGAGTTTAATTCGAAATTGATCTTCATCTTCCTATCTGCCAATTGCCTCCTCCCTGCATGAAGTAGGCTCTCAATATGCATTTGTTGAGTTTAACTGAGTTATTTGAGAAATAAAGGCTCTTCACATACAGTGATTGAGGGGTATTTATTAGAATCGTCTAGATCAGGGATGGCAAACAGATGGCTCTCGCTGCCACTCCCCATTATAATGTCTATAGCAAACATCACTAATGGATCATAGTGTACTTGCGCCTTGCCCCCAGACGTGGAATCTTAATCCTTCTCCTTTTAATGATTTAATGGCTTCTTTAATGATTTAATGGCGTCCCCTGGAGTCAGCATGCAAGATGACATTTATTTTATGCTGCCAGTGAAACTGGGTTAAATTATTATCAACTGGGTTATTATTATTAACTGGATTAAATTATGGTGAAATATGCAATATTTCATTACTCAGTCAGTACCTTGTGCCTGTCTAGTTTAGCCAAAAGCTCCAGGTCAGTCATGTCTGACACTCCGCCATGAAGAATCAGGACTTTCTCATCAACCAGAGTGGCCAGAGGAAGCCAACAGAAAACATCTTGCAGTATTTTTAGTATTTTCTTGCCATGTATCTGGAAAATGATATTAAGAAGCTATTAAGTTTCCAATGATACACTCAACTTATCTGAATTAAGAGAAACTTTTACTTTTATTTATTTTTTTAGAAGATTTTATTTATTTAATTGGCAGAGAGAGAGAGAGATACAGCGAGAGGGGGAGCAGGAAAGGGAACACAAGCAGGGGGAGTGGAAGAGGGAGAAGCAGGCTTCCCGCTGAGCAAGGAGCCCTGTGCGGGGCTCGATCCTAGGACCCTGGGATCATGACCTGAGCCGAAGGCAGATGCTTAACCACCTGAGCCACCCAGGCTCCCCTGGAGTACATATTCTTAAGGAAAGAACAGACATCACTCTAACATAACACTATGGGCAGACACAAAAAGGGACATATTCTATAATTCTACCCAGAATCATGACCTGAGCTGAAGGCAGATGCTTAAGGACTGAGCCACCCAGGAGCCCAAAATTTTTAAAGGTAGCATACCTTATATTTATGCATCACTTCCTTGGTAAAGCCATATCTAGATTTAGAAGCAAAAATAGATATTAAATTTAGTGACAAGAGTTATGATATAACTGAATTTTTATAAAAATTCATATTCTGTATACATATACATATACTTATATAGAAAAGAGACTGAGGAATAATTGCCAAAATGTTTACAATTATAGCATTATCTCGGTTCAAGAAATTATGGGATATTTTTATTTTCTTCCTTTTGCTTATCTGTATTTCTTACCTTTTCTAAAGAGTATGGGTATGTGAAAAAAAATTAATGGTTTTATTAGGAGTAGGATAATGTGTAAGTTTTAAGGAAATATTTTAAATGTCAGATATTGTGTATTCCTTTATACAATTGGAAAACTACTTTTTTTTTTTTTTTAAGATTTTATTTATTTACTTGTCAGAGAGAGAGCACAAGCAGGGGGAGCGGCAGGCAAAGCAGGCAGAAAGAGAAGCAGGCTCCCCGCTGAGCAAGAAGCCCAATGCGGGACTCGATCCCAGGACCCTGGGATCCTGACTTGAGCCAAAGGCAGACACTTAACTGACTGAGCCACCCAAGCATCCGGATAACTACTTTTAAAATGCACCTAACAAATCAGAAGCTCTGACAAAATAACTTCTTACAATCACAGGTAAACATCAAATACCCAGCGTGTTTAGTTTGTTACCGTAAGTTCACCATATAGTCCTCATGGTTTCCTCGGTTAAGATGGAACTCTTTTGGGTAAACCAACATGAAGGCAAAAAGAACCATCAGGATCTCTACTGAATCCTTGCCTCGATCCACGAAGTCACCATTGAAGACGTAGGCCTTCTCTGGTGACGGGAGGCCATTCTTCCCAACAAGACAAGTCCGAGAAGCAGCAACAAAGGAAGGGAACAGGAAATCAGGTTGAGCCACTGTGTATTTGACAGTTAACGTCAGATCGAAAAATTCTGTGCTTTCTGGCTCTCCTCCAAACATGAATTGTCAAGAAAAGATGCAAGTATCTTTTTTATTGGTCTTATATTTCCTTTCTAGCCAGGCTGAGGTTATGACATGCTCATCAAAATAGTGCTTTATACAAAGCTGGAGTCTTGCCATGTGGTATGTGCAAAGGAAACCAAACTTGTGATCCAAAGGCCAATTTTAAGTTCTGGCCAAAATATCTTTTTTTTTTTTTTTTTAAGATTTATTCATTTATTTGAAAGAGAGCGAGAGAGAGCACACCCATAAACTGGGGCGGGGGGCAAGGGAGAGGGAGAAAGAGAATCTTAAGCAGACTCCCCACTGAGTGCAGAGCCCAACGTGGGGCTCAATCCCATGACCCAGAGATCATGACCTGAGCCAAAATCAAGAGTCGGACACTCAGCCTACCGAGTCACCCAGGTGCCCCTGGCCCAATATCTTTAGTAATAACAGCAATAGCTGTCAGATTTCTCAGGATTAAACAAGACAATAAGTGGGAAAATGCTTTGGGAAGCACAGTATATATAAAGTAACTTTACATTAATAGGACATTCATATATGTTGTTACATGTTCTATATTTTATAACTAAAAACAGGAAAATAGCTTTCAGGTGCTTTGATAATCAACAATTTTCTTTATTTGGAAAAAAGGAAATCAATTACTAAATAATGATTCCTTTTCTTTATTAACCTCAGATTTTTAAAACAGTTTACAAAAATATACTAAAATATAATACAGTGCTATCTTTTATATTATTTGCTACTATGTAATTTTTAATAATTTAAAATAATATTTTAAAAAATCCAAGCAATGGTTAAGCATTTGTTTAATAGATACTGCATCTGAACTTCTAGAATAAGCCTCAGAGCAAGACAGGATCTTAAACATTCATACCTTATAAAATATAAATATTAAGTCATCCAGCTGGCCATGTAAGTCTCCTAATAAAGATAGAAAAAGAATATCAGTTTCTGTTGGTCCTTACCACTGTGTCTCATTTTTACTGTAAAAAGGGAAATACCCAGAAAAATCTGACAAAGTGATGGTAACTCATTTTTCCATATGTAAGATAGAGATAAATATGAATTTCCCTTTTGCAGGGATAGTTAATATTGAAAGCAGAAAACACAGTATTCGTTTTCTACATGATTATCATAAATAGTAAAGGAAGCAAAGATAGGACAGAATAGTGCAGGGTTGCCAACTCCAATGAGAACTGGAGAGATTCTGCCCCATCCAAAGTAGGAAGCTGCTATTCACTTATGGGCTCCTGTTAGGAGATTTTTCAAGATATGCTGGAAATCTGGATTTTAATATGAAATCCTCCAATTTTCAAATGTTGGAAATTAATTTTAAAAATTTCAGAACATTCCAGGCCAAGCAAGACCCATCTGCAGTTTGCGTGTGGCCCTTGAGGTGCCAGTTTACAATCCTTGGCGTCTTACAGTCTGCATTCCCCTACGACACGGGACATCAGTCCGTAGCAGATGTGTCAACATCACTGAAAACATCAGGATGTGGCAAGAATCATGATTGACAGGATTTCTCTCTGGCAGAAGACCATCTGTGGGTGGAAGGAATCATGTGCTGGGCCATTAGGGCCTGCTCAAGTAACAACAAATAAACTGTCTTCTGACAAAGGAGGATCTGGCTCTTTGCAGGGATTTTGCTCTGAATGGAGGTCGTGAGGGAGGGGGCAAATCTGAATCGCCTGGGAAATAGAGCAGAGCCTGGGCCCTCTTGCCCAGTAGCCCTTCTTGGCACTGCTTCTATTTCAGTGAACGTGGAGTGAATGCATGAGCGCTGTCAGCGTGCATCCCACCTCCGGCCAGCCGGCCTCTAATCTCCCCATCCCAGGAGCTCTCTTGTTTGCATCTAGCACGTGGCGCCATCTCTGACCGGCTCTTACCGCACACAGTGACCTCCTCGCTGTAACAGGTGGAGACACGGTTGATGTTTGGCAGTTGCACCAGGTGTTTCCTGGCTTCATGCAAAAGATTCAAGACGTAGCGAGCATGGAGCTGCTACTAGGAGGAAGAGGGGGGAGAAACAAAGCAACACTGATAGTCCTGCAGCAAAATGGGCCTCGCCTTTACTGCTTAATGACTGACCCCAATCACCCGAGACCCCAAGACTGACCCTAGTAAACTGCCCCTGGGACCCAATGCATGAATCCTCTCTTTTTCACCCATCTTCTGCTCTCATTTCTGCTTTTCATCGTCACCAAATATTGAACTAATTTCCTCTTTCCTATCAACTCGATGAAAGCTTTCCTTGCCTTTTGCTTGGGAGAGATGCATGCTTGTCTCAGCGAGGTGTGAGTTAAGTGCACACATGTTGATGGTACTGAGTGATCCTTGACATTACAGGGGAAACCATCCCAACTCCTCCTGCAATGAATTCTCTTCATATGGAAGAAAGAAAGGGCTGGAATCCGGCATAGAACCAAAATCTGACCACTTCTCACACCTCTGCCTCTACCACCAGGGTTTCAAACCACTGTCGCCTTTTGCCTGGACCATGGCAGGACCTTGACTGGTCTCCCTGCTTCAGCCCTTGCTCCCTACCCTCTATTCAGAAAACAGAATGATTATTTTAAAAAGCAAGCCAGATTATATCATTTCTATGCCAATGTCTCCCTATCTCTTTGAGAAGAATAGGAGTCCAACCACCCTCCCCTCTGCCTCCATCCCCTACACTCTTCCCCGACCCCCTCCTCACCAGCGACAGTGGCCTTCCTGAGGTCCCATGACACTAACCCCCTAAGTCCAGGGCTGCTCCTTTTGGGTTGGGTCTGGCCTCCCTCTACATCTTACATGGAGTTGTTGGAGACGCAGGGGCCCCAGAGTGAGCTTACTTGTTTCAGTCTGAAAGCTTCCACCAGGGCAGTCGCGTGGTCAGGAAGAAGTGGGAAGGAGAGACGTGGCCCTGTGTAGCTGTCCGGGACCGCTATAGATTCATAGTCACTGAGTTTCTCCATCTCAGCGTCCTGGGGGAATGTCTTCTCAGTGAACATGCGGTTCAGGAAGTCTCCTGGTCAGGACAGAGAGGGAAGGCCAGCTTGTGATCAGATGGGCAGTCCACGGGCAGCACGAACAGTCTTCCCCTGGACCATGCTTGACGTGGAGTGGGCCAGTCTGGTGTCGGCTCCAACACCAGGGAGGAGAAAGGAATGGGAGAGTGACAACAGATTAAGGTGGACAGGAGAAGAGGTTATGCTTTTATGTCAATGCCATTTTACTTTTATTTTAAAAGATTGCGACGTGTCAGACTTAGAATGAACAGAAATTTAGGAGCCGAGGCTTGTAAGCAGGAGGAAAGGGAAAAGCCTTGGTGGAAAAAAGAAAAAGCTCACAGGCATTTTGGTGCACTGTGAGTGTGGCAGAAGCCATGAGACCTTCCAGGGCCCTTCAGGCAAGGGCCCACCGCCAGCCTCCTCATCTCTGGCCCAGGAGCTCGGCAGGCCGATACTGTGGAATTAACAACCTTTCCGATCCACCCGGCCAGCGGCCTTTAACCAGTGAGCCTCAGGAGTTGACATATGAAGGCTCCAGTGCCCTGCCTTCGGTGGGATCATTCCAAAGCGTGGGTTTTGCACTGTTTCCCAGGCACACTGAGTTGCTAGCTTAGTAGCACACACCCCCCTTTAATGGCGGCTTTCCGTTCCCTGAATTCCTTCCCCACTCCCTCCCCACCCCCCACTGTTCCCTGCATTTATTCCTTGCACCCAAATTCTTGTCTCCAGGTGTGCTCCTGGGAGAACTCAGAAGCTGCCATTGATTTGTCAGCCTCCTTGCTCGTTCCCTGACTGTCACCAGATCTACGCTTCCTCTGCCGCCCCGCTCCGTCTGACATCTACGACCCTGAGACAGGAGGATGTGCTGTATGGCAGCTCGTACTCACGCTCATGGTTGCTGCTGGGGGTAAAGTGATCCACAAGGTAGCTGAAGAAGTCATGGAGCTGAAGAAGAACCAGAGACTCGGCTTTAGAGATGAGTGCCAAGAGAACCAGGAGGGGTCCAGATCCGCCGCGCCCGTTCCGGGCACTGGGGCCGTGCTGCCCCTGGGCTGGAAGGCAGAGCTCTGGGTGACTCCACCCCCCATCCCGCCGCACCTTGACCTGGTCTTGCTGTCCCGCATACTCTATCGACTGGAAGATGCGCCAGGTGCAATGCCGCCTCATCTCCAGCCGGGCCGCATAGCGCCGGTACCATCTCTGGATGAGGGTTGCTGCCCTGAAGGCTGTGACAGGGACGGAGAAGCGAGCCTGTGAGCCGGGACTCCCCGGGCCGAGGGGGGGAGGGGGCCGGGGGGGGTAGGCGAAGGGCACCTCTCCTACCTTAAAGTGGGGGCAAGATGGGCAAAGCGCCAGCCATTGCCACCGGTAGGAAGGATTTGCCTTACCACCGGCTGGGGTGCTCTTTTCCCCCTTCCCACCCCCACCCCCCTTCATTCTTACCTCGTCGTTATGCTACTATCACTGGAGGTTTACTGGAATTCCTACTTTTTGCTGAAAACACTATGGGTAGAGCTGGAAAGGTTGGATTGCCAGGATTCTCAAGAAATGCAACCTGGAAAGGTGGCAAGCGGGAGGCATCCTTGGAGAGTGGGACGATGCGGGGGTAGAAGGTGGGAGGACATTGTGACATTGTAGCAACAGACTGGCTATCAGGCTTCCTGGGTTCTAGGCCTGGAAATGCCCTCATCGGCTGTGTGGCTTCCCAGGAGTTTTACCTTCCTGGGCCTCAATGTCCCCATCTGGAAAGGGGGATGAACTAGAGGACTGGGGAAAACAAACAACAGACACACAGATGACCGCCTAGAATGTCAGGGGGCAGTAAGTGCTTGCTGGGCTGTGCGCTTGCTATCCCCAGACTCGTGACGGCCCTGCGGGCTGTCAGTGTCCCCATCACCATACTTGGGTGACTGCACTGGCCATCTGATCTGTGGGTGGCCTTTGGGCCTCTCCTTCTGCCGGGACCTGTGCTGGGTGGCTGCGTCCACAGGGTGACAGGAGGAGGCTTACTTCTTCCCATGACCTTTATCACCCGTGGTCAAGGACCACGGCCAGAGAAGAGAGCCGCTTCACATAAATAACGAGGTTCTTCTTAAGCTCCTGGGCCTGACTGTGCCACTGGTGATGAATGGGGTATTTGTGGATAAAGCGGGATTAAAAAGGAAACCCTGCAGGTTAATTCAGGTCAACCTCGTGAACAACAGGCAGACTGATTTAATATATTTAGCCTGCATTAGAGAGCTAATAGAACTCTGGCTGATTTCCCTGAGAGGAAAGTCACTGGTGGAGTGGAAAAAAGAGAACCAGGGAGGAACTTAAGCAAAGCTGAATGTGATTTCCTATGACAAAAAAATGTCAAACTGTAGCTGTTTCTCAAAGGCACTTACCAAATGCTAAGTGACGAGGCTGAAGCTCTACGGCTGACGTCTGTAGACCCATGTTCAGAACAGTGAATGCAATGTCCGGAGTAAGTGCTACAGACCTTCTAGAAACTGACGGGAAGCACAGATAGCTGGACCTCGCCCTAGGCCTGCAGCGTTAGACTCTCTACAGGGAACCCAGGGGCCTTCAGGTCTCACAAGCTCCCCACACGGTTCTTATGTGCCATGAAGTGTAAGCAATCCTGAGGAGTATCGGGGCCACGGAGGTTCTGTGAAAATGTTGTTTGCTAACACCTTGCTTCAACATTTCGAGGCGAGTGCTGCCAACTAGACATATTCCTTCCTCAGGGCCGAGAGAGCAGGCAATGCCTCTTTCCTACCTTTCCCCCCACCCAGTCCTGCCAGTGGTTACCTTTAACCGAGATAGGGGCTGTGAGGGGCAGGGTGGTCTAAGACCCTCTACCCCCTCCTTCCCAACAGCACAATCTAACACGCCTGGGTTCCTCTTGTCCCAGCTTTGTGTGCACTACATGCAGGACTACAAGTTACAAATGTGCCTGGAGGTTAAAACGTCACGTTAAGAACAAGGCGACTGCATGGACAGGGAAAGACCAAGGGGCACCAAGGCACCAGATAGCAAATAAAGGGCTGTCTTGGCAGTATAGCCTCCTGGAGGGCCTGGCTGGTGTGGTCAGGAGAGTATGCGACTCTTTTCTCTCTCTCTCTCTGTCTCTTTTTTTTTTAAGTAGGCTCCACGCCCAGTGTGGGGCTTGAATGCACAACCTGAGATCAAAAGCCTCATGCTCCCCCAACTGAGATAGCCAGATACCCCTAGAGCTTGCAACTCTTGATCTCAGGGTGTGAGTTTGAGCTCCATGTTGGGTGTTGAGATTACTTTAAAAATAAAATCTTTAGGGGCGCCTGGGTGGCTCAGTCAGTTAAGTGTCTGCCTTCGGGTCCCGGGGTCCTGGGATCGAATCCCAGGTCAGGCTCCTTGCTCGGCGGGAAGCCTGCTTCTCCCTCTCCTGCTCCCCCTGCTTGTGTTCCAGCTCTCACTATCTCTCTCTCTAATAAATAAATAAAATCTTAAAAAAAAAAAAACAAAAATAAAAACAAGAGCCTCCAGCCCCAGCTACCCAGAGAATCATGGACAAACCACCCAGCTGGACCCTTTGCAAATTCCAGACCCACAAAATCACGAGCAGATAAAACGGCTGTCTTAAGCCACTAAGTTTTGGGATAGTTTGTTATGCAGCAATAGATACTTGGAACAGGAATTATATAAATGCTTTACAAAGTTATAAAACAGATTTAAAGCAAAATGAAAAATAAATCTATCCCCAAAGATTAAAAGCAAAAGTTTAGGGGTGCCTGGGTGGCTCAGTCAGTTTAAGCTTCCAACTCTTGATTTTGGCTCAGGTAATAATCTCAGAGTGGTGAGAATGAGCCTGGTGTCTGTCTCCACGCTGAGCATTGAGCCTGCTTAAGACTCTTTCTCTCCCTCTCCCTTTTCCCCTCCCCCACAACTCACACATGCTCTCTCTCTCTATCAAAAAAACCCAAAGGTTAAACAAGTGAAACTAACCTTATATAAGTTGGAAACACAGAATAGAGTTACTTTAAATGACTTGAGAATTCAGTAATTTGTACATCCCTAGTGGACATATCCAAAGGACAAAAAGAACTACAAAGAAATCTTAAAGAATTTTCAGTAATCACATTGTTTATAATAGTATTGTTACTGTTCTGAAACTATTATTTATATATGGTAGGATAGAGTAAATAATAATAGTGTAAATAGTAGTGTCATTAGGGAAAAAGTTTTTTTTTTTAAAGATTTTATTTACTCATTTGAGACACAGAGATACAGAGAGAGAGAGAGAGAGTATGAGCAGAGGGAGAGGCAGAGGGAGAGGGAGAAGCAGGCTTCCCGCTGAGCAGGGAGCCCGATGCAGGGCTCGATCCCAGGACCCTGGGATCATGACCCGAGCTGAAGGCAGATGCTTAACATCTGAGCCACCCAGGCGCCCCGGGAAAAAGATTTTTAATGAAGAGATAGATATAAATATATCAAGTCTGTTAAGTAAAAATATTGTGTTCCTAAATATAAATTGGTCATGGTGAGTTTTTTTCTCTAAATAATACATGTTTTCTGGATCTGTTCACTGAAAAGGGATAGAAAGGTGGAGACCAACCAGGAAGCAACGAATACCCCACACCCTAAAGAAGTAGCTACTCTGGGGACAAAAAGGTACAAGATGACCCTGGGACATATTGTCAAGCTAGACAGCAAGGAAGCTTACAGAGATGCTGAAGCCCATGTAAACAAGGTGTAGTCACTATTCCCCTTGCTTTTCTCCTACAGACCTTTGGCTACCTCTCCTCAGCCTCCTTTGCTGACTCATCCTCTTCCACCTGATGCTTAAGCCCCAGAGTCCTTCATGGCTCTGTCCTAGGCCCTGGTCTCTGATTTGTCTTTACTCTCCCTCTAGGGTACTTCAGGGACCCATGGCCTCAATCACCACATAACATTCTGATGCCTTCCAATGCATATCTCTCCAGCCCAACCTCACCTCCAAAATGCAGATGTCAATATGCACCCACCTTCTCAGTCCTTCTACCTGCATGTCTCACAGACACCTCAACCCCAGCAAGTATGAACTCATCATCTTCCCTCTAGTCAGAATTGGTTCTCCTCCACTATCTTTATGTCAGTAATTGGCAATAATTCCTGCCCAGTCTTGCTAGCCAGAAAACTGGAAGTCATTCTTGATCCATCCTTCTCCCTCACCCCATACATCTACTCAGTTGGATCCTGTCAGTTCGATCTCCTGAATATTGTTGGAACTCACCCTCTCCTATCCCTGCTGCCAACAACTCTGGACCAAGGTATCATCATCTCTTGCTTAGATGACTTCAGTAGCTTTTGGACTGTTTCTTCTTCTACTCTTACTCCCTCTGATCCCTTCTTCACAGAAGCCGGAGGTCTTTTAAATGTGTATATCTTACTATCAACGCCCTATTTTGAATTCTTCAGTGGTCCTTCATGCCTTTAGGATAAAGTTTAAAATCCTATAGACGCTGAGTGATCTGGGCTCTGCCTACCTTGGCAGCCTCATGTCATGCCATCCTCCCTCTCGTTCATGTCAGACCATTCAGACCATTACTATGACTCGCTCCTTTCTACCTCATGACCCTTGTACATACTGAACCCTCTACCTGAAATGCTCTTTCATCTGCTTGTTGCCCAATTTTATTTCATTCACTTGTGCATGTATAATTTGGGATAACCCCTAGTGGACAATACTGACTCCTCAGCACACTTTAACTCAGTCAAATATAGTTCGCCAGCTCCTAAGATGTTCAGCTGACATTCTGGTGGTTTCCTCATAAGGAGGAGAAGCTGGTTTTCAGGAGTTGCCTGAGGAGAAATATAATGGTTTCCTTCTTCCATTCTAAGAAACCTCTCTCTATGCAATGTAGGCTTGGGGATACCTAGAGCAAGTTTGGGAGATGGGAAACACATACCTTTCTCTGCATTCTGGAAAGCAAAGTGATGTTGCGTTGAGGTACCGCTTCCCATAGTGTAGGTACAAGGTTTCTGCAGGACACAGATAGCAGGTCAGAGGGAGAGCAAGTTGTTTGCTGACAAAAGGAAGAGGGAATCTGAAAGAAGGGAATTCAGGCAGAGTATTAGTTAGGTAGACCAAGTTATCTATGGACCTTGTCTCCCACATTATAAAAAACATGAGACTATCATATGAGAGCACGTTCCCCACCTCTGCAGTGTCAGTGAATGAGGTATTCCTCCCCCTGAAAATTCCATTTGTCATCTCACCTCTCTCCCATATTTCCAGCCTTTCTACTAGCTTTTCCTTTTCAGTCTAGAAACATCCTGAAGTCTCTTCTCTTACAATCTCAAAGCTAATGATCATCATCATCATCCTTTGACTCCTATATCCCTCTAGCTACCAGCCAGTCCCGCTATTCTTCTCATTTAGACTTCTCTCAAGAGTAGACTACATATTTTCTCCTTAATTCCTCTTAAAACCACTT